CAATTCCATCGAATTTTATTAATAAATGGTAAAGCTTTTTAGGTATACCAATATTTTAGCTTATTTTTCCTTTGGTGGGGACTAATCATTCTCAACTGACATGGGAAAAAAAGGGTTGCTGTGTTTACACGACACCTATTTTATATCTCAATATGATAAATATTTATCATTACAAAAACGACTAAAGATGATAATTTTGTATTTGGAAACGTCATTAGCTCCTGAAGTCCACATGAAACTAGATTAGCAAATGAACAGTTTAGTTTTAAAAGTTCATTTCTTAATTTATGATTAAAGACGAAATTCAACGGAAAAGACAAGTTATCTACAGAGAAAAAGGGCTCATTCTGTTTGACCTCTCTTCAACAAAAACTAGGAAAAATAAATGTCCTTACCCTAATTAAAGAAATTTAAAATTACAAAACAAATGTTTGAAATTCCAATTTTTAAAATGGGTGAAAAAGTTATACCAAAAAAAAAAAGAGTGAAAGCAAGTTTTTTTTTAATGTAAAAGTAATTTAATTGTTTAATATCAAAAAATTTTAAATTTTAAATTTTAATCTCAAATTAAAACCTATAATACATTTACAATATTTATAATTTATAATTTCATAAAGATATTAACTTTTATTAAAAGAAAAGACACGAAGGATTAGAATTTAAAAGACAAATCCAATATATATATATTAATATCTAATGCTTATTCAATATTTATAAGAGTATTATACAAAAAATAAATACAATTCTATTTAATATTTAAGAGGGTATTATACAAAAAAATATAGCCATATTCAATATTAAAGTTTAAAAGGTATATCCAAAATATGTCTAACCAAATACAAGAAGAAATTGGATTAGAATTAATTTTTATTAATTAGGAACAAATTAGCAACTAAGAATAAATTAACAATTAAGAACAGACTTTCATGTTCTTGATATTCTTGTGTTTGTACTTTTAATGATTATGATGGTACGTACTTTAACCATTGCGTTTTGATTTTCAGTAAGTATTCTTGCTTTTTATTTTTTTTTAAATGATTTTTTTACAATGTCATATGATATAACTCACTATATGTCACTTAATCTAATTTTTGACGCAAGTACCACAAAAAAGAAGGATTAGAGAGTTTGAGATGAAGAAGGAGAGAGCAAAAGTGGAGAATAGGAAAAGTTGAGTGAAAGTGAAATTAATGAGAGGTTAAGATTTGAGTGTTTTATTTATTTTTACTTTTAAAATTAGGAAATTAAAAATTTAACATTAATTTTTAAGTAATCTAATAAAAATAAATAAAAAAATTTAGGTCATTTCAGGTAACTTAATCCATTCGTGATCCAACCCATTTAAATTCGGATAATTAACACGTAAAACCCATGACCCTACCCATAATTGATGGGTGGGGTTGGATTTTTGGATTGAGTTAAATTTTGCCATGTCTATATGTCCAAAACAGCAAACGTGTAAATTTTTAAATTTTGTATTATCCTTTATCTAGACCAAAGATTCCTTTAATTTTTTTTTTATGTTACACAATAAAATACAATTATTTTTTATTTTTTATCTCATTTTATTTACATATTATATAATTTAAATTTAAAACTTTTTACTTTTAACAAAAAAATAATAATTACTAAATTACTTAAATTATTCACGTTCGTTTGAATTCTTCAGAAACATGTGGATATATTAGGATAAAAATTGCACTATTCAAACACGGAAAGTGGGGCTCTGGAGATGGTTAGAGG